ACGCTACCGCTATTAGGTCTGGCACGTCTTTCAGTGTCACCAAGGGCTGCTCCTGGGCGGAAGCATTGGTTACAGGCAACGAACCGACAGCCTCGCGAGCATCGGAAATATTCCGTTTCTCGAGCAATTCGAGTGTTGCAAACACTACATCGTCGTTGAGCTCCAAATCGAGAGGACACATGACGCAAACACTCATGTTCATGTAAAGTCGATGCAACAAGCACACGTTCAGATGACCCCCCACCCGAGGTATCTCGAGAAATGGGTGGTGGCTCCGATGACGTTCTTGCTGGCTCGATGGGACCAGCAGCGGCGGGACACACAGACGCAAAGGCATTGGGACGCAAATGCAACGGGGAATTGCCCGGCACGCTCAAAGGGATGCTTCCATCTGCCTTTGTGGTGCTCCCACTTGTACTCTGCTGCATGCCATTCGCGAGTGTCCGCTCTTTGATACTCGGCGCCAAACTTGGGTGGAACGCTTAATCTTGCGACGAGTGCCTCGTTCGGTGCTGCTGAGCTGTTGCGGTGGATTTTCGATCCTCACCTCGTGCCGAACAATCATTCTGCTGTCAGTGCTCATGTACACTATGTGGCATCCATCTGTCAGATCGCGAGATCCTTGCGTGAAGGCTCACCCAGGACCGCGGCGCTGGGCGCACCACCCGACCAGTGCAGCAAACGACGTCCCCATTGGCGAAACTTCTGGTCCAAGCGAGCAACTTGCCCAGAATCAAGAAAATGAGCTCCATAGACAATCGCAGGCAAGACTAATATGTTTGGATCAACTGGCTACGAAAGCCCGTATGCAATTCGCGATTCTCAGCCCAACCAAGGAATTGGTGGAATCTGCGATTACCGGCATCCAGAAGACGAGCTGCGTGCTTATGCCACTTGCGCGATGCCTCGAAGGTCACCCCCAAGTACGTGTACTGTCGCACACAGGGCACGGAATGCGCGGCAGCTTTGGAGAGGGCAGCGGCGCGCGTGTACCGCGAAGCACGGACACGAGTGGCATATAGTGGCATCCAACTAACGTCTTCTTATACGGAACATGAATGTCAACGTACCCCTGACTGATCTTCGCCGGATCGAGGTCTTGGGCGAACGGTATGCTCCCTTGCAGGGCGCCCAGGCGGCCGTTGACACCACGGAAATGTCCGAAAAATCAGCCGTCATGGTTGTCGGTTCAAGTTCGACTGATTTTCGTTTCGTGTTTCAAGGCTCGCGGTAGCAACAGGATCGGAAGCCAGAACTCGAAGAGTCGGAACACCGGAGCCGTGGGGGGTGCGGCTGCCTTTTCCCGGCCGGCTGCCCAGCAGTAGATCCCGGTCCGGCCGCCTACAATTGCAATGCGGGCGCGCGCAGGGCGTTAAGGGACGCGTAGCCGTAGGATACCAGTGGCTAGCTGTAACAGTGCTGTAACCCTAGCCTTCCGAGCTCGGGCTGGCGAGGACCTTCAACTGCCACCAAGCACAGCGAGGACCTCCTTGTCATGTAGGCCAAGAAGCGAGGCCGTTGGTGACGACCTCGATGCTCCGCTCGTCACCGACGGGTGCGTCGAAGTTCATGTCATCCAGGTGCACGTTCCATGCAACCCGCGCCCCAGCTTCGCGGCACACACGGGCGTTTGCATGCTCGAGTGGGTAAGCTCGTGTTGCCAATTTGCCAGAAGTGGCACGTGCGGACCGGTGATTTTCTTGAAATGGTCCCTCGGCTACCGCTGTGGTATTTGCTTTGTTTGTTTCGCGGCTACACGTTTGACATGGATAGAATACGAATAACACATTTCTGAAAACGTTAAAATCTTTTCCAACTTGTGTCCTGGTCGTTCAGCATCTTTGTCTGAGCCGCCTGTGTCACATGATCTGGTTGGATTTCGGTGAAAAAACTGGGGGAGCTGGGGTGGACCACGCGTTTGCCATCGTTTGCCGACTTTGGTTCAATGACCGGAGAATGCGCGGGAGGGGGAAGCCGGGGACTTGCGCAGCACTTAATTTTTTCCGCACATTTTTACGTCCGCACAACGTGTCCCACCGTCGGAAACTACCTAAGACCTGGTCCAGACTCCAAGCGCGGAGCTGGCGACGGCTCGCTGCAGGGCAACCGACAGCACACTCCACCAGCGGCGCCCCCAGCCCTGGCCTGCGGCGCGCGCGGGTGGTGGGGCGCGTTGGGCACGAAGCCGGAGTAGGGTACGGAGGAACTGCTGGCACTCGTTGCTGCAGCGGCCACCGACTTCAGCAGCGAGGACTACTAGTTGTTGAGGCCCTCCGCGGGTCAACTGCGGGTAGCGCGCGACTTTGCGTCGGCGCGCCGCGACAAGCGCATCGGCGGCACCAGGGACGGGGCGGCCAGCGCGAGTAAGGGGGGAGACGAAGGTTGCGTCGCAGCACAAGGCTTCGCCGTTGCCCGTTGCTCCGTATAGACAACGAAGTCGAGGCGGCGACAGTCGTCGGGGTGAACCTGCGGAGCTGTTGTGCGCGACAACCACCACTATCGCGGCACCACGACCCGTCCTTCCGGACCGACCGCTTCGCGAGCGACCTGAACCCACGCCCTTTCAACGACGAAACCATGCCTGGGCAGCAGACCTGTGCGTGGGCAGGCGAGGTGGCGGTCCCCGCAAGCATCGACCTCAGCCCCACTGCCGTGTCGGCCGCCACAGTGCAGGGCCGTGAGGGGCAAGGGCAGCCGAACTCCCTGCTGAAGGCTCTCGCCAGCGCTCGGGAGACGAGGCGTCGAAACACGTCCCCCTGTGGCAATGCCTCGGGCACCGCCGTTAGGTTTGCGGAGGGCGATGAGGCGTGACAGGGCGATGGCATCTTGCGCACCTGTGGAATCTGCGCGCGGGCGTCGACGCTCACTGCAAAGGTGAATGACTCGAGTGCCTCCGCATCATCCAGGAGCAGCTTGTACAGCTCAACGGAGGCGCGAACGCTTAAGTAAATCGATCACACGGCATTATCAGCCGCCGGTGTGCCGAATGCTTACATCCAAATGTTGCGCTTGTTGTACGCGTCGCAAACGGGTTATGTGAAGGACAATCAACGATTCCACATAGCAAGGGGTGTCGAGGAGGGTGATGCAGCGGGGTTTCCTCTCTGGGGTCAGAGGGGGTACGAGTGTGACGTCGCAACACGATGTTTCGCCGAGTGGCGTGGCCCGGCGACGATTTGGTTCAGTCCGAACCAGCACACGCCATTCCTCAACTCCGGAGGGCGATCTACGAATCATTGCCTCCACCACGGCCACCACCAAACACAATCCGACGGTCTTGGGTGTTGGGTTTAGGAATTAAGCCTTCAACCTACCACTGTTCCGCCGTCTTCGGCTGCAGCGGTCCCGTATTGGGGCCGCAATGGTATGGGGCGGCTTTGGCCGATGGGAGCGTCGAAGTGGAGCAAGGTATCCAGCGGCGGGTAGTGTAGTAGGCTGCGACCGTGGCCGCCAAAATACGTTTGTGGGGCGCTGGAAGAGTGCGTCGGAAAAGAAAATGCCTGGTCTTGCAAATGCCCTCCATTCCTCCAGCGAATGGGCTCCCCCTGGCAGCCAGCTGGGGTTCGGGCAGCAACGCGTGGTCCCAGTAGCGACTGTCGCATTTGCCGCGATTGAGGAAGGAACTTTCGGAAGGGATCACGGCAACATACGCATCCGCGGCTTGTGTGGGGCAAATGGGCGGTTGTGCAGGACTCAGCCCAACGGATATTTGCTTGTCGACGGTGGTATCGCAGCGCCAGCCGCGCCTGGATGCAAGCGCAGCCCAGCCGGAAACAAACGCGCCACGTACTTTACTTTTGCGAGAGCGTGTGCGACTGAAGGGTACAAAGAGGTGCTGTTGACGACAACCTTTCGATTGAGAAGCTTGCGCTTGTTGGGGTCAGGGCTTGTCACGGTCCCCGCCCTCCAAACGGATCTCCTGCCCGCATCGGGACGGTTCAGTCGCGGCTCCAGAACTGCTCACTCGCGGAATGCGATACGCCAAGATCCGAGGATCAGCGCAGCCACGCTGCGAGCGGACATGTGGAGCTTCTTCAGTTGGTCTCGTTCGCACAACCCCGCGATATCGACCCTTGCGGCGATGACTAGGCGCGACAGTTCGTTTTGAAACGGCACGGCAGCAAGCGAACTGTGGCTGTTACCACATGGGCGAATGATTTCGCAGAAGCGCCATTGTAATTGGTGGTGCAGTGGTGGCTCAAACTGGCACTGCTGCGATCAAGCCCGGCCATTCGCCAAGGCAAATGGGGTAGTTTGCCGTTTTGTGAGGTGGTCAACAACACGTTCGACGCCTTGCAATACGAGTGTGTGCGGAAGCTTTGCTTGGAACCTACAGAAAGATCTTGCAACCCGGCACACTGAGCTTCATTGAGCAACCACTGCAAAAAAATGAAGATCAATCAATCAGTCTGGGTGAATTGATATGGGTGATCTTTGGGTCTATTTTTGCGCAGTGCAGAACTAAGGAGAGGCGAATGTGTGCTGACCAAGGCTCGAACTTGCAACACCTATGCCAAAGCTACAGTCTGTGTGATACACATATTCATATACATATACACATATGTACATACATACATGTAGGTATTCATGTACATAGATCCAGACATACACTTTTGACATTCATAGATGGGTAGATAGAGATGTATGTACATAAAATGGCTGTATATCTATATATGTATACATATATATATATATATGAAAAAATCTATACATATAGATATGTATATCTGTATCTTCATATCTATATGTATTCATCCATACATCAACCCTGAATGCCCCTTTTGACTCAGATCGGAAGAGGCACGACAGCACCGTCCACCGGGGCAGAGCTGCTGGCAGCCTTCGCTACAAACTGCGTGACTTTTGCATTGGCTGCGATCACGGGTTAGGTTTAGGGTTTAGGGTTTACTGTTTAGAGGGTTTAGCGGTTTAGGATGGTTTAGAGTTATGCAGTCCCGATCAAGAAGCATTTTAGGTGCAGGAGCGAACTCAGCCGTTGCCAACGAAGCGACTTCGGCTGCCTCGTGAGCCCAAGTGAAGGCACTGTCAATCTCCTGGCCAGGCTGTCAGGCAGTTACTGAGCTACCGTGGCGAGCCACGCGTTTGAGACGAAAACATCACAAGAGATGCTTCCTCCGGACTCCTTGAGATCAGGCTAGGCCTGGATACCATTCTCCCCGCAAGCTACTGTAAGTAGTCCGGTGAATCGCAGCATCACTCACCTTGCGATGACTCGTTCCGATGAGGTATAGTAGGGAGAAGCCTTCTTCACCCAATCATTGAATCCATGGCTAGCATGCGAGCACATCTCTACTGCGACAGTATCAGGAACGTTTCCTCACGGAAGCCGGCAGCGACAAGGTATCCTAAACCCTAAACTCCAAACCCTTAAACCTTAACCGCGGGAGGGTGGCCTGCAACGGCTGCGCTTTGCCTTCGACAGGCTTTCCGCTATTCAAGCTTCAAGGCGATGGTCAAGTAGAAGCATCTGTGCTTAAAATGCACACACACATACATATATATATATATACATATATATACATATACATACAGATATGTGTATGTATGTATGTGTGCATGTATGTATGTACGTATGTACGTACGTACGTACGTACGTACGTATGTATGTATGTATGTACGTGTATGTATTTGTGTATAAGAAAATATATCATATACATATAACCGAAAATGATGGCATAGTATAGTGTAAGTCTCACGTGCTTGGCTGCAGGAACTTTCGAAACAGCTTGGCTGGAGTTGCTGCGAATTCACATCGCCGCCCCTCATACTGTACGAGGCCCGCAGCAGAAAAAAGAGACCTCCAGCGATGATTATGGCGAAGAGAAAACCTGTCGGCACCTCTGAGGGCACGGCAGCTCGCAGCCCACTGGAGTGCAAGTGCCTCCAACCATTGCTTCCCTGGCACAGCAAACGTGCAACGACCGGAAAGTCCTTCTTTCCTACCTTCATCCAAATTATAAGGCTCCGTAACGTCCTGTGATGCTCAAACGCTCATTCACCTCGCTGATCTTTAATTTGCGCGAGTCTTTGGCATCTCAAGTCGTTTCGACCCCTGCGTGAAACGCGGTTGTTCCGTCAACCGAACTAGATGAAACCTATATGAAGCTTTCTGCAGCAGTCTGATTCAGGCTGCATGAAGCAGTGCAATAGAAACAGCACAGCGACAGCACTGGAAATCCATGAGTGTCGAATGCAGTTGCAAAAGAGCATTATCATCATAGCCGCCTCAAATCCCAGAGGCCGGAGCTGCCCCGAGCCCTTCTTGGGCTTCGCGGCTGCGCGTCCGTGAGATGTCTACCCGACCAGCAGGCACCAAAAAGACGTAACAGGCAAAGACCACAGATCCCACAGCAACTAACAGCGAGGCGAACCAAATGCCCCGTCGAAGCAAAGGCTGTGCGTCTGCAGAGCACTTTGCGTTGCCGCCAAGCGGTGACATGTTGCTCCGGGCAAATCCGATCCGGCCGTTCTTTAGGTCGAAGGTAGTATAAAAGGCCCTCATGAATGTCATGCCGAAAATCAATGGGACCGGCTGACTTGAAGATCCACGTTGAATGGAAGGTACGCATGATGTCCTTCCATCTATTGGGTCCACCGACTCCAGAATGTATTCATCCGGTGACATGCAAAGAGGAAACTGCTGAGACTGCTCATCGATTACATTGATGACCAGTTGTGGGACCCGGCTCAAGTCGTTCGCCGGCGGACAGTCGCAGCTCATGATCTGTTGCTCTGGCAGGTCATGGCAATTCGTGAATCGCCATTTCAGCTCACTGATAAGGCGGTCATACACTCCAGGCTCGATAACGAGCAGTGATGATCCAGAGTCGATCAGTGCTGGCGCCCCCAGTGTGCCACGGTCTGGGAAGGTCACATCAACGCCCGTCCCACTCCAGCCAATAGACCACACACTGGTTAGCCAGAGTTCTGTCGTGGACATATAGTCACCCTTGCCGTATTGGAATTCGGTTTCCTTTGAATGATGTGCCAAGTCTGGGTTTCCAAACACTAGTTCAGACCTTCCTCCTCGTGTTCCTCGACCAGTCAGATAGAAGGAGAACTGTGCCGGGAGGTGGGGATGTTCCCGAAACAAGGTAGACACAAAGGTCTCCCCGCGCAACCCGCGGTCTGAAGCATAGTGGTGGGCGAGACCCAGGATGCCATCAGATTTCATGTGCGTGTCCTTAGGCCAAAAGCACGTCGGAATCCTAGCAACGCCTGATAGAAACAAAGGTTCGAAAGAAAGCTTGCTAGTTGAAGATCAAAGTCAGACTCCATGGTGTCGACCTGGATCAAAAGCTGCTTTGCAACCTCTAGGTCCCCAATCTTCACGGCATCATAAAAGGAGCCTCCCGTCGCCACAGTGCCGTCACCGTACCGGAATGTTATCCGATTCCCGACTTGGACGGCGTCGCAGGACTGGCTGATATCGAACTTCGCAGTGCCGGCTCTGCACTTCGAGCAGTTTTCGGCCGGAACCCACAAGTCCTTGGCTTTAGGGCTTAGGTTTAGGGGTTTAGGGTTTAGGGTTCAGGGCACTGGCCACCGGACAAACCAACCTCAAGAAACCGACCGGCTCGGGCATAGAACAAAGACCGTCGTCGCAGCACTGGACTGATTCATGCAGATGCATCCCTCAGTTGAATCACACGCCAAGAACATCATCAACAGCAGCTGCCAATACCGCTACGCGTTCGCCTACTACTGCTGCAACAACAACAACTACAACAACTACAATTTCAACAACAACAGCAGCAACAGCAACAGCAACAGCAACAGCAACAGCAACAACAACAACAACAACACCAGCAGCAGCAGCAGCAGCAGCAGCAGCGAAAACAACAACAAGAAGACGAATAAAAATAATAACAAGAAGAAGAATAATTAGAACAATAATAATAAGAAGACGAACAAGAAGAATAGTAAGAACAATAACATTAACAAGAACAAGAACAATAACAAGAATAATCAGAATAACAACAACAACACCAGCAGCAGCAGCAGCAGCAGCAACAACAACAACAGCAGTTTGGGCGGGGGGGGGGGCAAGATTGCACGCAAGCTTGGTTAATCTTGGTCTGGCGAGGTTAACTAGTTGGTGAGCAAGTGAAACAAGATGACCAAGATTGCTGGCGATCTTGCTGTTGGACCAACATTAACCAAGATTGCAAGATGACCAAGATTGCTAAGGCAGTTCCACAAAGTAACTGTTCTAAAGTCCCGGCCACATGCACTAGTACAACTGACTGCCACGGTACTGCCACTGCCACCACCACTACGACGACGACTGCTGCCACCACTGCCACCACCTCTAGTTCTTCTTCCTCGTCTATTTAGTACGACGGCGCAGTATACGGCTGTTACGACGACGACGTGACTGCTTCCACAACATTGGCGGAGAGTCGGAGCTGCCGGTGTCTGGAACGACCTGAAACTTTTGCCGCGTCTTGCCGGCACAGTCCACACCGACCTCGATCTCCACATGGTACTGAACATTGTCCTCGGTGCTAGCTGCAAGCAGCAGTCATGGTCGGCTGTTGCATGCTGTCGGACTATTAGAGCAGGCTGCAAATTTTCCGACTACCGGGACGGCTATGAAAACCAAGCTGAATCACATTCATTGAAGGCCAAGCTGCGTAATTACCCAGGAGATTCGGATGTGAATCCGACGGTATGGCCAGGCGGCGGCCAAAAAAGCTCTGGGTAGATGGCGTGTGGATGAGAGGTAGAACGATTCTTTGCTCTTGATCCGGCACATCCGCACCTGATGCCCGACGGGACGAAATTTCTAGATAGTACAGACATGCGCATCAAGGACCAAACACATAAACATATTCGCCCAAGCAATGCAAAACCAACGCCTTTACCCAGAGATGTATCCACCAGTACATGCTAATGAGACGAATCGCTAGGTCACTGCGAGTCGCACCAGAAAAGCAGTGGAATTAACCACCGTCTCCACCACAACTAATGCCACAACGCCCGTCCCCATGTGTGTGTATATATATATACATACATATACACAGACCAGTAGATGCAGTGTAAAATGATGACATCTGCAGATTTCATTAACATGTTCTTTGCGCCTACAGTAGTGCAGGCTAACCTTGCGTGAGTTCCGTTACTAAGCCCAACATAGAAACTAGGACATTCACGACAAGTCCAAACAAACAAATTTTGGATCAGGACAGTTCAGCATCAGCTCTATGCAAAGTTGGTATAGCCTAAACCCTGAATCCCATTCGCAAAGGGCCCCCCATATTGAAACCATATTCTAACCATGGCCGTACAGACATGACAATCACTGCACAGCCAAACGGTGAGATCAAAAGTGCGAAGGCCCGGAAGAGTCGCAGGGGAACCATCATGCATAGATTAGAGAGCTAGGGGTACAGTACCTGATCTAGGATCCCTTCCAGTAAGGGTCGAGGTTGTATCGGGATCCTCTGCGGTCTGAAGCTCTCAGGCACGTCGCTCAACCGTACCCTCAGACACTCCTACTTTTTTACATGTGTCTACATGAGCTCCACCAAATCTTCATCGAACTTCCAGCCTGACAAGGCAAGCAGCCACGCCGAGCTGCTGAGAAGCCACACCATTGGTGACTTCATCGCGTGTAGACTGAAGAAACCGATGGATTCGGGGTGATTGGCTGTGGTTTGTGTGAGGTTGTTGGTGTTAACAAAAGGATTCAGTTGGCCGAATGTACTGCCTCTTAATCATCCCAGGTCAGTCGCCCAGTAGTGCGGTAGATCTGTCGCCCAATTAGGCGAAGGGTTGCTGTCTCCATCTTCGGTCTTATGAAGGGCGCTGTCGTCCCCCCAAAACAGGCCACAAGCCACAAAAGCTGCATCAGGCACATGATGCAAGCTTTGACTGAGCAAAACTTCGAGGATCCCAGAGCATGGTGCTTTACTAATTATTTCGACCCTACACTACTGCACACAAATTGGGCGAAACAACTTGCGCTCAGTAGACTCGATGGAGCCTCTGCCGCATATCCGGGCAGCACAGGCGAACCTGTGGTCAGTGCTTGACGCAGGGCTGCCAACAATAGTTACACCACTATACCAAAGTTGCGGAGGGTTCAATTTCTCAAGTTCAGAAAGGATCACCATTCCCAACGGATGACTGGTTAAAAATGATATTGAGCGCTACCTTGTCAACCAAACTGTTTGGGGCCAAATCCCACTCGAGCAGGCATGGCACACCGCCCCGACGAATTACTCGGAGGGCCGTTTGTTGGTTTGTGCGTGTGTTCCTTTGTTTGTTGGTGTAGCTCAGAAAATTGCCGAGGTGAGCACTCGGAAGGTCCTGGATGAAGCCGCTGCCGCCTGAACATGGGCAATACTCTGTCTCTCTGTGTGTGTGTGTGCGCGCTTGTCATGTAGCTACGCAAATGTTGGCCGTATTTCAAAATCTAATGATCTAATGCCACCTAGGCCCGGCTCTCGCAGCAACCATGTGTCTGTCTGCAGCTATCGCATCTCTCTTGAGCTGTGGCAGCCTGTGGCATTCGTTTTGCGATGAAGGCAAATCTCAGGCAAGAGCGGCATGTCCATCAGCATGGTTAAGCAGGCTCGCCATACCTGCCACAAGCAGCACGCGAAACCTTCGTGTAGAAGACATGAGCATCCTCTCTTAGGAGAGGCAAAACCCAGGTCACGGCCTCGGGGTGCTCACTTCGATAGGCTGCCAGAAGCGCATGTCCTGGAGGTTGCTTGGCAACACATGGAGACTTCTTCCCGGTGCAGCGGTTGCACGAGAGCCGAACCGTAGGCATCCAGGTCTGGCCAACACAGGTGGCTTGAGACCTGGGTCAGGACAGGAGCTGGATGCAATGCACGTGCAGTCCGGCTGAAGAGCGCCCCTGCAGTCTGTGTCACAATGGTGACTCAATCAGCGAAACGTGTCTGCCTCTGCACCCTATCCACAACAAGCACTCACATCTCCCGATATGCTTTTCTGAGCCGCAAACAGGAAGGAGGAGAAGCTGCAAACTCTGCTCCTCAGTCATGATCTGGTGCCGTGGCCGGCGTTTGTTCGATCACGACTTTGCCAGATTTGATCGCAGCAGGGTCGCGTCTCGGGACACAGCCAGAAAGCAGCGATTAAGCAGCATGAGTTCAACCCTGAGCTCTCCACCCACTGCCCGGATGTGGCGAGGGCACCAATTGCACCCAGTAAAGTTCCCTGCGCGGGTCGTACAGGGGAAGGTCTCAGCGTGAATCTTGACGCGACATGGTGGGGAGCACAGGGAGCTCGGTGAAAGCCTGATCAGCAGCTCCGGTCTCCAGCGCTGATAAGCACCTCGCATGCCAGGGAGTTGGCACTAGGTAACGACGACAGATCCTGCAACTCGAAACTTCTCCAAATTTGACAATCAGCCTGCCTCACCTGCCTTGGGGTCCGAGAAACGAAATCATGCCATGTGCAGTCTGACTCCCTCCAGTCGACCAACTCGAGAACTTGCCGAGGTTTGCGCCATAGCAAAGCGAGCTCCTCGGACTGCAAGCTACGGGAGTTGCAGCACCCTGGCACAAAAACTACTCACGATTCCCCTGTTCGCCTCGGAAACGAAAGTACCGAGCAAAGGCAAACTTAAACTTATTAGAGTCCCTTAGCTTTGCACCAAGAAAGGCGGCTTCCGAGGTACAGGCCCACTTGAATGTGCGATCCAAAGCAAGGATCCTGGCATCGACGCTTGAGTTCAGCTCGCATTTTGCATCGCACAGGCTGGAAATATGTATTTTAGGAACCTTTAAATGCATAATTTTGTAGTGTATACATGTATATAATATATTATGCATAGCACATCGTATACAGCATCTAACATGTAATCTGTAATGGTGCCACGACTGAGCCCAGAAAGGACAGGCGGAGGAACAACGCGTTGTAGGCAATGCTGTCCGGTTGCATCTTCATGGATGCCATCTCAGAGAACCTACAGTACAGTGAAACGTGACGCAAACCAAAGACCCGCAGGACCGGTACTGCAAATGAACGGCACAAGCACCCATCGAGAGAACATCATAGCCTTTCATGTCGATGTAAGGACTGAGATAACGGCAAGGCAACAGCGCGTTGCCATTCGAATCCCTTCTCGCCTTTGAGGCAGGGACAGATGTCCGATACAAGTAGTGGACCGATGGTAACACTACTGAAAGTATCTGCTGCTCTTGGAGCAAACAGGACGAACAAGTTGATTCTGGCCCGATCTGCGTTCTGACAGACTGTGCAGTCTCAGTAGGCCCAACACCCTTCATACAATGCATCAACGGCTTGGGGCTCGCACAAGCACTGATAGCAGCACAATATGTGAAGCTGTCGAAGTGCTGCCGGCTCAGGCTTTCGGCAAGCAGCCTTCGGATCAGCGTGCATCATGCATACTCGTGGCTCAATATCTCTTGAAGCGTGTGCATATATATATATATATGTGTGTGTTTATATTTAGTGACTATGTACATATGTATATGTATGTATATGTATAATATAATAAATAAATAAAAAGAAAAATATAAATATAAATAAATAAATCAATATATATATATATGTGGGAGCTTGCTGATTCGTGTGACAAGGGAAGTTCACGCCGTGCACCACGCTGCGACCACTTGAGCTCACTGCGCCAACGACAAATCCCAGCGAAGGCCCTGCAGAGCAGGGTGGCTGAAAGAGGCAGAAAGATGAGCCTCTCCAGGCAAGGCAGGACTTAGCTTTCCCTTTCCACAGTTGTCCCGAATTGAGATGGTGTAAGCCTGGCGAGCTTCGCAAGATGCAAGACACAGGGCTGCTGCATGCTTTGCAGCGCTACGAATAGTCCCAAAACCCACACCACCAGGCCTTTCCACAAGCGGTGATGGATGCTCTGTACAGGAGCTTGTCCGAATTGGCTGCAGAACCTGAGGAAGCCCAGCAAGCCGGGTAAACTTGTATACAGTAGCCGCCGTAGCCACCCAAGCGGCAAAAGCTAGGCAGCTCGAGAAGTCTATAGGCAAAAGCTAGGCAGCTCGAGAAGTCTATAGCATCGTGAACAAGCGGACGAAGACCAGCATCATCGTGAAGCGCCAGTACCGGCACAGCACCGTAATTAGGTTATGCAACTGCAGCGACTGACGGAATCGGCCACAAGAGAACCGAGAAGCAGGCGCAGCAAGGAGAGGGCCACTTCCCATTCGCCGGACCTCCAGGGCTCTGACAAGTGTGCATCCTTTGGGGCGCCAGGAAAGTCGTACGAGTACCCAGTTACTCTGGGCTAGGCTGGGCAGATGCCGACCAAGTCGATTTGGGAAGTTCTCTAAATTCGGATCCCTTTTTGGATCCCCAATTTAGTGCGGCACCCTTACAAAAAGGACCCTAAAAGGGACCCTACTTTAGCCATTTGCGTCTGCGGTCGGATCCCCGCTGCAGCGGGGCCCAGGCTTCGCGCAAGCGCCAATGGCTGGTGACGCGATCTTCGCATCGGCCGACAGGCGCCAGCGTCTGCAAACACGGTGTCGTTGTTCAGAGTTTAGTTTAGCGATTTCGTACATGAACCGCCGATAGCCGCAGCAACCGATTCTGATTGCCACACATCGAAGCGACAGTTCAACACATAGGATTGCTTGCTTGCTTGCCTCCGTCTTTTAATGCGACATTGCCGACGATAAACATGTATCACCAACCTCAACTCTGACAGCAGCTCGATCGCTTGTTGCCATTCTGCAGCCTCCACAGCAGGGCGGCAGCTGAACGAGGTGCAGTCACGGAAGGGCTTTCCATGAATATAGGGGCCTTTATAATTATCTATACTATTTTGGGGTTGCTTATTAGAATTATAGTATACTGTACCCCCAAACCCTATTCTAATTGTTAAGGCCCCTATATTCCGCACATATGGCTTCGGCTTAGACCTCGCGTTACAGAGAACTTGTAAAAAACGCAGCCCGGCCTCCTCGCATGCAGCGACTGCTGAGTGATACCTTGCGTTTGCTTCGGAAGAATTCCGCCGATTGCCATTGATCATGTTCCATGGCTCGTCACTGTGGATAAAGTCTGTTTCTGGCTTGTAGCAATCGAGACAGTCAGACACTGTGGACGCTGCGCGATGATGTCAAGATGTAGCTGTCCTTTGTCAGGCAAGCAGGGTTCAAGCTCGTTGTATGTCCTCGAAGGCCACCACACTCATGCTGTCAAGTGACACTGGGAACCGACACTTGAACACGGCAGAAGGCACGCCGGTGTTGGTTGACGGGCCTTCCCGTGCTGTCCGGAGAACATGCAGCCCACGTTGCCACCTTGACTCCATCTGCCACGTGTCTGCCGATGCTTTCCACTGCCGTGGATGGACACATAGAATTTCAACTGTATCTGCTCTGCTAAGGTAGCTGCGCGCCGGCATTACCGCAAGCCCGGACAATGCTGCCTGAGCAACTGCATCAAGCCTCTGCGACATCGACTGCTTTCACTGGCAGCTGAGCAAATGCCATCAGCCATGGCGCTGATCGTCCTTGCTTCTGGCGCGGTTCGTGCACGCCTCCCACCAACTCGAGAAACTCAGGCAAACGTCTTAAGCAAACCCAAGAGTCCCTAAACCTCAACCCCAAGTTTCGATGATGCAGAGCTCTGCAGGGCGGCCTCATATCACTCAAGAGCTCTAGCCTTGGCGTGCCAAAGCAGCTCGAGACTGTTCCCTGCGACGGCACGGCCAATCTTCATGTCATGTTAAAGGACACATCGAGACGATTTTTGCAGTCTTCCCTGACTGGTCTTAACAAGACTTCTGTTGCAAATCTCTCGGAGCCCGGCGCCAGAGGCCAGTTCGCACTGGAGCCTGGACAGGGTGCTCGAAGCCTGCTTTTGCTCTGTCTCTTGCTTGCATTTTCCGCTCTTGGGATCTTGAGACGGGTGGTTAGGCTTTCTAGCAGCTAAACTCCCCTTCGCTGAATGTCACACCCGACTGGATCTTTCAAGCGTCGGCGGCCACCATCCGCACACAGACAGGACTTGGTCTTTGGCCCCCTGGACAGTGGAAAACCTCCAAGCTGTCATAGTATAGTACAGTATCGTATAGTCTGGTCTCGCCAGCACATTGTAAACAGTGTGCGTCCAAGCAGCTCACAGCATGGAAGGCAGCATTAAACGTGACGAGATTGGGGAGCATCTTGTTCCCCTGCCTCGGCTTCGGTTCCGTGTGTGTGTATATATATATAAACATACATATATACATATGTCATATACAATATAATCTTTATACATGCATACATACATACGTACATTCATTCATTCATCCTTTCATTCATTCATTCATTCATTCATTCATACATACATACTTATGTACATGTCTATTTTTGTTTCGTGTTCATGTGCTCGCAGTTGTTATCATGATTGTACTTGGGTTCAGCTGCACAGTGTCGCACCGAAGACGCTACCAGTCAGAGAGCAGCCAAGCCCAACACGCTTCACGAAGCAAGGAGATCGAGTTCTCCCACTGGCTGCCTTCCCCACCTCGTCTGCTGTGGCCCGGCACAGCGCACTTGGGTGGACAGCGAACAAGATAATGATTGTGAGATGGCCATCGCAAAACGATGCCGGCCTTCAGTGGCTAAACCAGGATGCATTTGTTTGTGTATCTGTGGTCGCACAGACGATGATGATGATGGTGTTGTTGTTGTTGTTGTCGTCGTTGTTGTTGATGACGAGAACAAACGAGGGCACTGCTTCATGTGATGAACATGATGAAGGTGGTGTTGGCGAGGGTGATTATGGTGATGTGGAGAATGGCGATGCCAAACAACTGAAAAAAGCGAATGGACGACCCATCATGGCAGTCGAACATTGTCTGAGAGGCGAACACGCCAGGATCGCAGCACTGAGAACCATCAAGTCGGGAGTCAAACCTGCGGAAGTGCCGAGTCTGTGAAGGCATCACTCCAAGGTCCAACCGTCCGTTCTGATCCCCGGCAAGCCAAACGGACGAAGAACAACTGACCCGAGAGCGAGAGATAGATACACGAATAGACAAATTGATGCATGAGAGATATCAGATACGAGATGGAGAGATGGACAGATACATACTACGACAGGGAGATAGCTAGCTGGATTCGGATAGGGAAAGAAAGAGAGAGAGAGAGAGAGAGAGAGAGAGAGAGAGACGAGAGTGAGCCGCAAGTATTGTGGTGCTTCCTGCAGCACAAAACCAACTGCCTCGATCTCGTGTTTCATGAAGCAAGGCCATAGCACTCTCCTCACAAACGAGATGGCTGAACCTACACTCTAAACCCTCAACCATGCTGAATGAAACGAACGAGGTGTGCAAAAGTCTCGTGTTCCGCATAGCTGCTGCTCTTGGCCATTGGCACACAACCATAAAAAGATATTGTAAGACGACATGTTCTATTCTATTATGCCATAATATTTCAACATCATGTCCCATTGCGAGATAGTCTACTAGAATAGCATCGATGCAAGGCTGAGCTCAAAGCCCACTGCTGACCTTTAGCACAAGCGCTGATCGCCTGCCGGAAACCCAGACCGAAGCCCCAACACAGGATCTTGGATGTAGGCTTCAAGGTGTAGGATGTCGGGTCAGGCTTTAGGACTTAGGGTTTAATCTTAACAAGATTCACGTCAACACTGCAAGAGTTCTCAATACCAATTTGGGTTTAGCTTTGCTTTGTTTTGAATGCACCTTTTTCGCCTGCTGTGCCGGGTTTCAGGTATTGGGGTCTTTGCTCATCAGTCCAGGTCTCCAGTATGTGATAGCAGATGGCATCGTGGTGGGCAGCAGACTGGAACCTGCAAGCGCTTCCTGAAACCGAGCGCAACCGCTTTCCTTGCTGCTCCAACTTCCCCTGAACTGTCCACAACAGGTTGCACAAGCGCAAGCCGAACTATCGGCTTAACTTATTACATTATATTATATGATACTATATGATATGATATGATATTATATTATATTACGTTATATGCTTAATCATGTCCAACTGCGGCCAGCTCGCTGCGCTGAAGGTGAAAAGATTGGGCGGCACGGTGCTGTCGTACCTGCGAGCCATGGGGCTTTGGTTCGAAGCCTAGGGAATGACAATGCACAAGCTTATGGATGCCAGTAGTCTTGCAGAGCGAAGTCGATACGCACCCCACAAGGGAGCAGTTCTGACCCTTTCATCACACTTCATCCCCCTGATGCTCAGCAGGCGACATATCTTCCAGAACACGTAAGCCGCTCTGCCACTGACTGGCCTGGCAGAATGGAGAGTTTCATGCAACATCACCGCTCGAAGGCAGTGCCACCGACCGAATGCGGGTGCTTGACAAGCAACCCACTGAATCCAAGAATCTGCAATCTGTTCGGTAGAGTGCGGCCGCCTTGTTGCAGGCCGACACAGCCGTGCTGTACCTCTACACAAAAAAGCGGCACCAGCGGTGGACCCACATCCTGCGACGGCTACAGGTCGCACACGATCACGTTGGACTCGAGGCCGCTCGTCTTAAGCTCGGCCAAGACATCCATGCAGGCTTCCTGAAGTCTATGTGAGCCACTGCCAACTGCTTCTGCCAGGATCGAGCGTTTTCCTTTGTGGGAGTTGCAAGTTGCAAACGTGTCAGGGCTGCCCAACGGCCAGCACGGCCGAGGGATGCGAGGATTGCGCCGTACCTGAGGCAGCAGGGTTCCGCTGCAGGATGGGGCTGGATGCTGCCGGCGCACGTGGCGATGTCTGGCTCGGGGCCGGCACGCTTCATCTCGCCCTCAGGATCGGCTGCGCTGGCGATGTTTGGTTGACATTTGGGAGGTCCCAAGGCTCCCTCGATCAGCCGACTTTGCAGCTTCCAGGCATCGTTGCGGCCGGAGCAGGCCTGCAGTGTGTTCGTGGTCGTCAACGTGCAGCACCAAGATTAAGACTAGCAGCATGGCAACTCAATCGCGAAGAGTGCAAGAACAAGACTCTGCATCAACGACCTGCAGCACGCTGTTGCAGCAAAGAGCATCCGGGAATGGCCCTTCCTGTTCCGCATAAAAAGGAGAGCAATTTTCTGATGTGAACCACAAGCTGCTGCACATATATCGATGCAATGAAGCTCCTGCCGCATGCCCTCCAGCAGCTTCAACACGACCTCTGCCCTGGGCATATAAGAAGCAGGTCGCAGGAGTTTATCCCAATGTAAAGTCTGCAGAAGCTGCACGCTACTAACAATAACTATGGTAACTATGGGGTCTGTGTGGACCCTGTACCTAAATGACGACACTCAGTGGAATTGAAGATCAGGACCCTGCTGGCGTGCCCGACCGCAAGCGGCTATAACCTGGGGCACTCTCGCGGGTTTTGATGCTCCGTCTCAGTTCATTTTAGTGCACGTCGGGACTTTGCACACCGGAGACGGACGACCAGGTGAGAATCAACCGCAAGAGGGGAGAGCAAGAACCTGCTTCCCGAAAACCCCTGTGTTTTGCCGGGCCAGGTGGACTTCACACAGCCCCCGGGCGTCGTACCGAGGTGCATTCTGCCACGTGAAGTGGGCAACGCTCTTCGCCTCACTGCGTCGAAAGTCCCTCGATCACCGAAGTGGACCCCTGAAGGGTGGATGCCAAACCACAATTGGGAAAGAGCATCAAACCAACCCGGCTCTTTGCCAGCTCTCGCTCTCCTTGATTGCCTATACACTATATACGTCAAGAGCCCTTTTCTGGGACTCTTGCGAGCGGCGGCAAGTGCATGCCTCAATCAATTACAGAGAATGTCATTCAGAAAGCTTGTCCCTTGTCTTTTCGTGTCGACAGCTGCTCTGAGAAAGCCGCACTGCACCCTGCCAGCCTGGACACAACATCTCATTTTGGCGAACAAGGGTTTTGATCATTCTGGTCAGAGTTAGCCTGCCTATATAGCCGGGTACTACAAGAGTTCCTATACTGGCATTATCAGGAGTCTGTGGGGCCAAATCCACGAATCTCGGATCCTGCCCTCGAGATGTGGCATGCTGCGGCGACCTGTTTTTGCTTCATAGAGCCCGCGGGCCTCCTTGCATGCCAGAAATGCACGGCTCGCGATGGGCCTGCCGACGATTTATGACGATATACCATAGCACCAGACATCAGCAGCGACATACATATGCATATGGTATGCATGCACGTGCCTGTATACATACATATATATATATACAAATGTATATAGACATATATAGAGATACATAGACACAGACGTATAGATATACATACATTACATACCTAACCTACCTACCTACCTACCTACCTACCTACCTCCCTACCTACCGCATACATACATACATACATACAATACATACATACATACATACATACATCTTTTTTCATCCTATACCGATATACAGATACAGATACAAACACTAGCGGTGTTACACAGCCATACATACATACGTACATACATGCTTACATATAGTCACACATGCACATCCCGCACGTGTGTGTCTTTGTGTGCTTGCGTCTGTGCGTCTGCGTGTTTATGTTTATATGTTTATATGTATATATATATATATGTATGTATATATATATATGTATATGTATATATATGTGTATATATATGTGATATATATATATATTGATATATATTGATATATATTGATATATATTGATATATATATATATATGTATATATATATATATATATATTGATATTGCATGTGTATAGGCTGCGCCCGAATCGGACTCTTTGCATATGAAAGTGACAAAAGTGATGCACACACACACATATGTATGTACGTATATATATATATATAAAATAGATATAGAGGTAAGGAGAGACATAATTATATGGGTATAGAAGCTTTACGTGCCCGCCAACTCTTGGGGGTCCCAGTCCCAGGCTTTTCAATAGAGCCAAGTGTATGCAAGGGTTGCTGTGAGATTGGCTTGGCTTGGCTTGTGCAGTTGGTTCTCAGCCTTCAATGCGGCGGTTGGGGGAACTGAAAGGCACTGCTAGATAGATAGGTAGGCACATAGACAGATTAGACAGATGCTGGATGCATACAGAAATACAAATCCCTGCTTCAAAGGTTAATGAGAACCGATACTGCAGACCCTGCCTGGCGCAGCTTTGGAACCGTGGCCCATCGGTGCTTCAGGAGCCAGGCACTACAATCAACTCTTTTGTAGCAAATGTGGGCGGACTTCTTGCCTTCTTGCAAATCAGGCTTCCACCTGTCACTTTGGCAGTGCATGGACGAGAAAAAAGGCCGAAGTACAAAGGAGCAAGTAATGTCCCACTGCAGTCTGCGCCCGCGCACGTTTTTGTGTATGTTCATGTATGTAAGCATGGAGGTATAGGTCTTCTTGTCTTGTCTGGTTGACAGTACTGTGTATTTTGCTGTATTGAACTGTACTGCATGTTGTATTTTCAAACTATACATGGGTGTATATTATACAGCTTGAAAGTCATGCAAATGTGCCTTGGTTGCAAGCGAGCTTGAAAGCTCTTGAGCCGAGGCTGTGCCGGGCATGTTTTTGCGCTGGTTCCAGAATGAACGGTTCGACTCAGCATGCTGTGTACGGTGGGCTTAGGGTGTAGAGTTTAGGGTGAGGGGGTTGCGGATAAATGGGCAGTCCTGCCCCCCCCTCTCTTGCTCGCTGCACGGCTGTTTTAACGATTTGGAATTATGATCCCGGACCTGGGGCTTTACAAATATACACAATAATCCTAAGACTAGATGCATATCAGTTTGTATAATACAAGATGAAGATGAGGAACTTATGAAGCGGGGTAACACAAGGCCCGGAACAGCCTCTGCGCTGTGGCCCCATCACGGCCAACTGTGAACGATGTTGGAGGTCGAAATGCGTGTGGACACACAACCTTGGAACCCTGTTTTTCCGTGTCTCAGCTGCAGGCACACTTGAGTCCAATGCCGGCCCTGACAAAATCAGGAGCGACTTGAAGCAACAAAGGGGCAACGAATCCGAGACCAGGCTTGCTACGCGCACTGTCCACGAGGCACCCGCCGCGCCTCCGCCGCTAGTTGATCGAGCAAGGAGGTTCCAACTCGAAATCGACCGGCATTCTCGCATGCCTCGGTAAAAGCCCAAAGTCAGGAACTCTGCGCATGCTGCAACCGGCATCACCAACCGCTTGCTAGGAGCCACGATGGATTGGGCGAAGTTGACTGCATCTGGCCTCACGGATAGAATAGCCGATTCAATCACAGTGCTAGAAGGCTCAAAGCAAAGACACGAGGAGGCAGCTCAGCTGGGGCCCGATCCGAAGCTGACAGGTCACCATGCTGCGCAGCAGCGACAGCGACACGTCCCAGCGGCAGGCCGAGATGATCGCTCCCATTGCGACCGCATCCACCTCCGGCAAGGCGATCTCATCCCGTCATATCCGGGGGTTCCCTCCACTCAAGAAATGGCGATACCATACCGGCCATAGCCATGCATGAAGCGCTCAGTGCGTGACCACAAGGGGGCTGTGCCATAGTTGCTCCCACAGCAGCAAAGCTGTCGCCCAGCATCCTTTGCACCCAATTGGCATGCGGAGGCACTTTCCTTCTCGGTTCGTGCCGGTCCCGCGGTCCTGCGAGGCCGCATGCGCGCATGGCACTGCTGTAGGTTTCCTGAGCTGAGAGGGCAAAGGAGCATTATAAATTATAAAACCTAGACTTAGATAGATTTCGACATGATGCTGACATCCATGACATCCCATGCTGCAAGGCAAAAACCAGCATGCAGCGGCATCAAGTGACCGTACCATCCCCAAACCGGCTACTAATGCCCCTTCAGATGGAAGCAAAGCTGAAAGCCGATGGCACCGCTACACAGACCCAGCTTGAAGCTTGTAGGGCAAAAGACGTGATGATGCCTCGTAACCTGCGATTCCGGCGAGTGTCCGTCTGCAGTTGCACCTGCTCTTCATGCATGTCGCTAAGGAGCTGCAGAACGCCCGCCTCGCGACACTCGTCACCGAGTCTCAGAGGAATGGAATCGGGCTCAAGCTTTGCCAAGGAGCCCAGGCCCATCCCTCTGATGTCTGCGTAAAGGCATCCACTGCAGCGTTGTAGCCTCGGCTCAAAAGCTCAGCCAACACGTTTGACATGCTGGAATGGGCCTGCATGGGCGGAACTCCCCATAACTCCCCTGAGCTGGCGACTGAAGATATTTGGCTGTATGTGCGCCTGCATGGGCAACAGGATTTCCGAAGGGATTCGCCGCTTGGGACACTGGAAACTAAATTGATGGAAGGTGTGCAAGTTTCGATTTTTGCGTTGCCGCAGCTGAGTAGCTCTGAACTGTGAGAGCAAAGTTCTCACGCTGAACCATCTATTATCATCTATTATTAAGTGGTGCTTTCCCGAGGTCTACATTTCCATGTCGTCTTCGACTGTGGAGCATACAGGGAATCGCAAAAAAACCCCGAGTTACAGCAAAGGCGCTCTCTTCATTTCGGCCAGAAGCTGCATGGCTCGCTGCCATTGCCCAGCACTGGCACAAGCGCTCATGCTGGCGCTGAAGGCGATCAAGTCCGGAAGCAGCACTGCCTTTCCCATCAGATCTGCAGAACTTTGGATTGGCAGGTCCATCTCGGGAAATGAGACTCTGCCTTGCTGACCTACTTAGCTGCCGCGGTTTCACTGTGCGGACGTGCATAGGCTACGTGACAGCTGGCCAAGTAGCATTGCACATTTGCTGTAGGATCTCCAAAGCGGGCACCCACCTGTCAGCTGTGTTGCGCCTTACTACTTGTTCAAGAGTTCCGGATTCTAGCAGCAGCTGCAGCATAGGTGTTGAGCCACATCGCATTTATAGCACGTCGTGTCGCAGTCAACAGCTTGTGCAAACAAGGAGTGGCATTGGCTCGTGCTGACAAATACACAACCCAAGCAGGACATTCAGTTCCCTTCCCGTGTGATCGCCAAGACACTGTGCGCCTCTCTCGCACGCGCTGATCACGGCACTGCAGCTGACGACATTTGGCAATACCTTTGTGCCTGCGACGAGAAGTGCAACAAGATGCCTTCCATACGGCGCGATTTCAACAAGACAACTCCCTCTACTCTCTACTCTCGTCATCCAAGCCATGGCAATGTTCGGAGATGATGTGTGAAATGTGTGAACGATATGTCCGCTCCTTGCATGTCCAAAAGCATCTGCAGTGATCTCTCCCACTGCCCGCTCGCGCACGCATTGATCGCTGCTCCATATACCTTGTTTTGGATGCTTCGGCTTGACAACGGGAGGTTAGCGGATTCACTGCCAATACCAGCATTCTTATGCAACGTGCGTTGAAGAAGCCACGACGTTGGGCTGCATGCGGGTCCGGGCCATCTCAGCCATCACGGCCAGTGCTTGCTGCCAGCTCGCGCTCCTGCGCTGCAGTGTATAGTGATTTCATCTTCAGAACCGCTTCATGACTCGATCTGCAAAGCAGCGATGAAATTGTGCTGGCCACTGCAGGCTAAGGATACCTTGCTGTGAACAACATAGCTGTTGGCTCCATGCTGAGGCGAGCATGGGGTTAGACATCTTAGACCAAATAGATGCCCCAATGCGACATTGCACACTGACAACGTGTCTCGGTGTTCCTGGTGCAAGCGTTGACCACGGTACCCCAGCTGGCAAGATCCGGACATGGGCCTTCCGAGTACAGGCAGACTGCGGTGAGACACGAAATCTCTCATGCCAGGAACCTTCCTGCAAAGGCCATGCCTCTGGCCACCATTTTTGCCAAAACAGCCAGGGGAAGTTCCCACCGACTGCTCGATGAGCAAGCTTGCAAGACGTTGTTGAAGAAGAACGTATCCAAGTCCTGGATCAACGAGCTCAATGCCATTGGAACAAGAGAGCGGGAGGTCTTAGTCCTTCTCTGAGAAATCCTCAAGCCTTTAGGAGGAAGTCAATATTCGTGAGCGCCCTCGCTATAGGACAAAGGGGGGAAAGTAGGAGGACGAGGGCACGGACGACGAAACAGCGACGACAGCCTGACTCAACTTGACATCGCCGGGCTCGGTAAATCGCAAAACCCGAAGCTCCTGAATCTCTCCGCACCGAGAATCATCTACGAAACCTTACAAGGCCATTCTAAACCCTTAAGCTTATAAGAATCTTTTTTGGCTACAGACTGAGTCAGCGTTTAGTTTGCATTTATTTAGCAGTTTTTGCATTTGCAGTTTGCGTTTTCTTTGTGTTGCATTTTGTTTGCATTTGCTGTTTGCGTTTTTTTTGTGTTTGCTGCCATGCTCGAATTTAGCGTCGCATTTTTTTTGCATGTTTTTGGGCCGAGGCGGCCCGGGCCCGGCAAAATGCGAAAAGAAGGTGCGCCCAAATCCTGAGGACGACCAAAACGCAAAAAACAAGCACGCCTGGAAGCGGCGGCCGGGCAAAATGCAAACAAAAATGCAAGCCTGCAAACAGAGGCCGGCCAAAACGCAAAAAAAATGCAAATGCTCCAGGAAACGGCCAATTTTCCAGATTTGTGAAGATTTCGGCAACGACCGCATTTTTTTGCATTGTTTTTGCATTTTTTTTGCGTTTTGGCCGGCCTCTGTTTGCAGGCTTGCATTTTTGTTTGCATTTTGGCCGGCCGCCGCTTCCAGGCGTGCTTGTTTTTTGCGTTTTGGTCGTCCTCAGGATTTGGGCGCACCTTCTTTTCGCATTTTGCCGGGCCCGGGCCGCCTCGGCCCAAAAACATGCAAAAAAAATGCGACGCTAAATTCGAGCATGGCAGCAAACACAAAAAAAACGCAAACAGCAAATGCAAACAAAATGCAACACAAAGAAAACGCAAACTGCAAATGCAAAAAAAATGCAACCAGAAGATACTGGGGTTGAAATTAATTTGGGGTAGACCAGCTGTAGCTGGCTAAGATTCTTATAACCTTAAGCAACAGTAATCCCATTATACTAACCCTTATTGTATCCTTTTTTTGGTAACCCTATTATTCTGCTAATCCCCATAGGTTACTACAACAACGCCTAATCACCATCATAAAAAAACCAGCCTGGCAACCCCAAACCCTTAAACCCTAAAGCCCTAAGTAAACTCTAAACCCTAATTAAACCCCTAAGCCCTAAATAAACCCCTAAACCCCAAAAACTTAAACCCCCAAACCCCAAACACCCCAAAACCCTAAAACCCAAAAGAACTTAAACCCAAGAGTCCACGTCTCGTCTCCGGAGGGTCTCGGCGAAGGCCCAAGCCGCCTCCGTCGCCTTGGCTCTGCCCATCGCGGCTGCCTCGAAGGGGAGTTTCAGAATTTAGGCTCTTAGAGGTTTAGGAGTTTAGGGGTTTAGGGGTTTCAGCATTTAGGGGTTGGGAGCTTAGGGGCTTTAGGCTCTTAGGGTTTAGGGGGTTTTAGGGCTCTTAGGGTTTTGGGGCTTAGGGGTTTTATGGGTTTTGGGGTTTTAGGGTTTAGGGGTTTAGGGTTCTGGATTTTAGGGTTTTAGGGTTTAGGGCTTATGGGTTTTAAGGGTTGAGGGTTTAGGATTTGTGGGTTTAGGGGCTTGTGGTTTTGAGAGGCTTTTTGCAAGGACTTTGAGAATTCTGGAGGGCTGGGTTTTATGGGAAGCTTACGAGGAGATTTTGAAAATAGGAGAACCTCACTTGGGGTTGTTGTCTTTCAGGGTCCTCTAGCGTCTGAAAGTCCCACATGCTGGGACTTAGACTTGGCTTTTGTTGAAGGTAATCTTCATCGCCAGGATGGCCATCAGAATATGAAAGAAGACACGCAGAATGAACAGGGTTGCTAATCATTTTCGCACTTCCGTAGTCCAGTCACTGCAGCCGCCCCGGCCACAGCAAACATTATCAAGACAACTAATCATAGGCTTAGCAGGTTCAGGGAAGCGCTCTTGCCAGAGCCAAGGGTTCCGGTAGGTTGATTCATGCGGCTCTGATGCTGTCACTTCGCACAAGTCCGAGGGGCCACTGCCGTGCAGAATTTGATGCCTGGAACTTCGCCATTCGCCCACGTGTCGACAAACCTGACAGCCAGACTTGTCCATCCAAACTTCTCGTTGACACACAGTATTGGCAGTCATACATGCAGATATGCATACACAGACAGTGTGAGAACATACACACGTAACACCATGATTCTCTTGGGATTCGGGATAGAGGATCTTGGGGTTTAGGGATCACGAACGCTCCCTAGGTGCTACCGAGGACCTAAGACCTAGGCCGAGACAAGAGGTGTCTTAACTCATGACAGGATTCCTGGCAAACTCCTCTCACTATCGGTCTAAGCAGGACTTAGGTGGTCTGTCATATATCTTTAGCAAATTTACTTGAGTAGGCCTCCTGTGGAAGCTACGGGCTCCAAATTGGCATCCGTGGAGACATTTGCATGTGAGCTTGACTGTTACATACGCACACGCACACTATATATTGTAGACTCGCTGCTGGCCGGAACGCCCCGAGCCCAACAGCCCTACACTCTAGAACGTGGAATCTCGGAAGAATCAAAGAAGTTCTACCCTAAACCCCTAAACCCCTAAACCCCAAACCCGAAAATCCGAAACCCCAAAACCGCTAAAACCCTAAAGCCCTAAACCCGAAACATCCCGAAACCCTAAACCCTTGATGGAGGGGGGGGGTCCTCTGGAGCTCCTCCTGCCAGGTCGGTCGGCTCCGAGCGACCGAGCGCACCTTCGGATCAATTCCCCTTCAACTGCAAAACTAAGGGTTTAGGGTTTAGGTTTAGGGCTTTAGGGTTTAGGGATTTTAGGGGTTTAGGGGTTGAGGGTTTAGGGTTATACCATGAACCACACCCCAAAACCCTAAACCGCAAACTGATACCGATCACAAGCAATCCTAGTTTTTTTGTCATAGGGTTCTGGGGGTAAGACGTGGGAAAGAGAAACCTCATACTTCTACTTGTTCGTCAACGTTTTGGCCCGACGATCCTATTTTCCCCTACAGCTCCAAAACAATCTAGGAATGGTTATGCTGCGAAACACAGGCCGCAGGGCCGCCCCTTCTGTAGGACTTTGCGGGATCGCAGTCATTATGAAGGGCGCTGTACACTCTGCTTTCTGGGCTCTTTTCGACTTTGGTTCAGAGTTTCAGAATGCTACAGATACTAAATAGATTGTTGTCGTGGTGATGCCTGTGGTCATGACCGCAGGAACAGTGCCAGAAGGACTTGTGGCAATCGTCATGCTATCAATGCCAGCAGTGACGGTACGTCATGGCGACTGAGCAGTGGCTTTGCTTGTCACCAACGGAAACTCAGTCTTTGACAATCCAAGCCTCTATGGTAAACATGAGCCACAGAACCGTCCATCGGGAGTCCACTTGGAGCCCTGCTCTCAGGAACCAACAGGTGCTGAGCGCCTGCTGCGAAGGCAAAGCCTTGCATGCTGACAGCTCGGCCATGTCATGGCCAAGGCCCAAGTTCGCGAAAGCCAGGCTCCATTGCGAGTTGCGGCGTGCAGTGACGCTTCTGTTGTGAGCTAGGATCATACTTTAGCCTTCGCCCATGGTCTGGAGTTCCTGTGCGCCAGGGACTGCTGTCGGCTTTGCAAGTTCGGCAGGGATTGCCCTCTGGCCTTGCTGCTGGAGGTGGCAATTATCAGGAATACGCGAAGGCAAACCGATCTCGCACCACAAGAAACGCCCTGATCAACACCTGTGCTTCGTGGTCAGGACATCTGCAAGGTGGCACTCTGTTCTTGACGGCGCAATGTCGGATCGGCGTCGGGTCGCCACTCCCATTTCACGGTAACTTTGGCAGCTTCTTCAGCTGCTTTGGACAGGAATCATAGACATGGGATGCCTCAGGAGTCACCGAACATGCTTCCATGGTGCAAGTAATAACACGATAATATACGATGGCTTATCAGTTCTCATCGGCAACCGTCTCGCAGCATAAAGAGGCACTCTGACCTCTCTCACATCCTCTGCGTGGCCAGGGGCACCAACCACGATTTTGGCTACTTACTCGGCCAGTCAGGCGCAAATGACAGTGTGACAAAGGGAAACGATCCCAGAAAGAGTATCAGGAAACCCTCGATTTCTGAGTCCGTCACCTAGCTTACGTCGGGGCTTACGGATCTAACTTTTCCTATCATGTAATGTCGTCGAGACATCTGGGGAGGGGGGGGCTACTCAAAGCTACGTCGAGGTAGCCTGTTGCAAGGAGAGCACCCGCGTGCAACTTGTGTGCGCAGCTTCTGGCAAGTGCTCTCATAGGTTGCTTCAGCAAGGAAACCTCATTGCTGCTGAGCCCCTTTGCAAAAAAACAACTTTGCTTGTGTACATGGCATGGGCCAATGAGCTTGCCAGGTCCATGCCAAAGGTAATTATAGTGAAATGGGGCGGGGTCTGCAACCGAATTGCATCAAAACTGCAAACCTTCAGTTTGCGAGCGAAGCTTGTGGGCTGCCACTAGTTTCGGCCACATACCCCGAAGTACTTCGTGCCGCGAAGCCGGCGTTTCACAGCTAGACTAAGCCTGATCTCCGCAAGTATAACTCGAACATCTTGCAACCGTTGTCATCGAATGCTTTCAGAAACGCTGCCTGGCCCTGGCGTGTCGTGGCACGTCGCTGCAGCAAAAGGTGCGAAAAGCGCTTGGCTTTGCCAGGTTCGCACGGGAAACCTAAGGATCCTACTGGATGGTCTTGAAACGGGCAACTCCTGCAGCCCATCGCGAAGACCACCCCTATGCTGATTCGATCCAAACAGTTTATAGGGAAGAAAGGGAAGTTCTCGGGTGAAGAAAGCTCCTTTAACAAAGGCTTTTCGGCATGGCGCAGGAAACTTCCCTTCATCCCCACAGAGTATGTCGACTAAAGCCTTTATGTTAACAAGATGAGGTCGATTCGAGTCTCGCATGAGCTTCGGATATTCTGGCCTGCTTCACTCGGATCAGCCTCATCACTACATCGCCGCTGCAGTATAATCGGCGAAAAAAATCCATTGGCAGAATGGGTGCTCTACAAGCCGAGCATCCCGTCTAAGCTAACAGGCGCCAGGAAGTGTAGCCACCAGTTGAGGCCAGAGGGTTTCTGGGTCCTTGCCGACATATTGTCACCGCAGCGTCATCACCTGGCGACATTCTGCCAGCTGAATCTACCAGGCAAATCGTTATGCATGATGCGTTGGATTTTGCAAAGAGGCCATACATCTCTCGAGGCTCCCTTTGAAATGCAGGCATACCGACACCGCATCTACAAGAGTTGTAGGTATTGCTTACTAGTGGCGCTGCTGGACACAACTGCTGGCCAAGAGACATCGACAGGCTCTCGCATCCAATCATTATAGCTGGTGAAGGTCTTTTGACAAGGGCCAGCTTTGTCTCATAGACACACGGTCTTGTGAAACCATGCCGGAGAAGGCCACATCTGCACCACGGTGCCAGCGCCCAGCCCTCCGGACCTGAGTTGCGGAAGCTGAAACTTTCGAGTCCCTTTGCCCGGCCCTAGCCGCTATGATAGAACCCTGTAGCGGCTATAGTAGAGCTACGACAGTGTATATTGATCTCGTTAGATACCAGGAACAAAGCTGCTTCTTGAGAGGGTGGAACTCGTTGGCCTCCGCAGCTGGTCTGCGATTGGGAGTCCGGCTCGGGTCCTCCGTGAACATGAGTGCCTGGCTCGCAGGCATCAGGGGAAGCACACTCTCCACGACCACAGATGAGGGTGCTTAGGGAGGGTAGGGCTGAGGGTTTCTGCTGATTGCCGGAAACCCAGTGCAAGGGAGCCTGTGTAGCTGCTGATGTCGTCATGAAGGCGAACGGTGTCAGCCTCCGTAGCTTGCACCTTGTGGCGGCGAATGTCATGGTGGAGAGCTTCCCACTATTGATATTCTTGAACAGCTGTCTGAGCGATTGAAAATCCGCCATCGCAGGATGTACCAACATCTGCACGGGACCATACTGCTTATGCTACTGCTTCTACTACTGTTGCTCTAACCACTTGCTACAGAGTACTAGGTATAAAGCGCGGAGTACTCAGGACGACCAGGACGACTGCGACTACTACCATAACCACGACTGCTCCTCCACATGTACCGCTACCACTGTTGGCACGACGACGACTTCATCATGAAGGCGAAGGGAAGGACGACCCACACTCGGCGTGTATCTGCCGGGTCTGTGCTACTAAACCCGCTAGGCGACAAGAGTTTCAGAAAGCTAAGGCCTATGCGAAAGGACCATGACAAAAGGCAATGGCTCGGCGAATGTCACCTCGGCACAGCCAAACTTTGGGATCCAATGATCTTCGTCAATGCAGACACCCAGGTCGGTTGCTCTGTTAGTCTTGCATCATGACATTGTATCCTGTCCGGGGATGCTTTCTATGACTTCTTAATGCTCACTCGCGCTAAAGCCAGGCACGCCACTTTCCGAGACCTTCTTTCTCACCGCCGCATCTATCAAAGCAGCCTGCAAGAGAGAGACTTTGCACTGGGAGCAATCGACTCTCGTTGTCGGCGCCTCGAAGTCTTCAAATTTGAGTCGGCGCTGTCCCTTTGGAAGCACCTCCGGAGGAACCGGAGGATTCGTTGCTTCCACTGCTCGTGTCCCTTCCTGCCCTATCAGCTCAACCCGGCCTTCACAAACAGGAGATCGGCATCCAACGCTGTAAACCTGGCACTGAGACGCCACCAGCGAGTACATCTGACGTCACGAGCCGGGAATGTCGTTCGTGAGTCCCCTGCTTTCGAAATGGCAATAGAGTTTTGGGGAATACTATACCACAAATAATAATAAGGAACACCAAAATACTATTGGCAATTATGTCCCTGTTTCGGTCATCAAACTAGTACGGCACCGTCATTGAAAGGACCTACACTGGGACTCCCCCCAATTTAGAGAAACTACCTCAGGTCCCTAAAAGCAGGCCCCCTGCCGAACTTGGACTTCGCCTGCTGCTCAGAAGCCGGCAGTCGCGGCCTGGGGCTCGGTTGCATGGGATTCCAAAAGCCTATGGTGTAGGGATTTTTAGTATACAAGGCCTTGGTAATTAGAATAGGGCCTTGGGGGCCCCCTTATTGTAATTACAGCATAGTATACCGTATACCCCCAAACCCTATTATTCTGATTATTTAGGGCCCCTTTTATTGGAGATTGAAGAGTTTAGGGCCTTGAGCCTTGCAGTTTAGCAGCGGGCCTCTTTCTGAGGCCGCGGCACAACCGCAAGAAGTCTCGATTGCTCATATCCGGCTTCCCCTGCGATGAAACCACAACTATCCAAGCTGGTTGTCTTGGTCCGTGTTTTCGCAACTGTCGCAACATACGTTGTGCTTTGAACTCTTCTTCCTCTGCTTGAGCACTTCTCCCCTCTTGACTGTCTTCCTCACTCCAGGCTTCCGCTGCCTGCCCCAGCACCCTCTCACCCCGGTGGACATACAGCGCAAGTGGGAAGCAGTGTGAACCCTCAGTCCGAACCTGAAGAAGCCATAAACGTCCGCCTTTCGACCGCTTGATCAATCCACATTAGTTCGATAATTTGATCGGTTCGAGCTCTGACCGCGCACCCAGCAGAAGTTGACGAAGCTGTCGAGCAGCAACCTCGGCAGCGCCATGCATCTTGATGCCAACCGAGCTCCCGATGCTGACCGAAATTTTCCCCTGAGGAGTGGACTCTCGCTCTGCCTTATCAACTCCAAGGCCTTGCAAAGCGGAGGGCTTGTCGTTGTGTGTGGTGCTCGCACGCTCTGTGCCGCCAAGTTCACTGCACAGCCCGTAGCCTTGGAGAAGATTGGCCGACCAGGGCCCACGCTGTGTCGTTTGACACCGGGGAGGTATCCATTGTCCAGCGGATAGAACCAGCCCTTGCAGCAGCACGCAACAAATTTACAGCCTCTATCTGCCTCGAAGTTGCTCTACTCCATAACTGAGCTTCCTTATCCAAGCATCATCCTAAGATCTTCTGTCGACCTCTCATGACTCATTGCTCAATGCTTCTGATGCCTATGTCATGCTGTCGAACCAGGCTCCAAGAAAGTGAAAAGCTGAGAAGTCCCATTCGCATTGCCTCGCGGGAAGAAGGTCCCCCAGAATCGCTGGGAGGCGAACTTTGCGCACGGCTGCGTGGCCTCCAGGCTGGGTGCGAATTTCAGCTTTTGAACCGGTTCCTTGCTCTGACTTTGGTGTGAAGGGTCCTGTGGTCATTGAATGACGCCTAGATTGAATCGTTCTACTGCATCCTGCAAAGTGCAGATGCTCTTCTGAGGCTCTGGCGCAGCTTCTGGCAGAGTTGTGACGCCTGGTCAGGCAACATGTGCCACAGCCAAAACTCGCCACACGCGAGCAGCTGTGTTGCTGCATGAGGACGCACATAGCGACGAATCGCAACGCAAACCTAAAGCCTAAAGACCATACAAAACACAGTAACAACCCTTAAATCAAAAACGAACAAGAAGCCACT